TGCGCTACTGTGTGGCTATGTAAATAAAATTTGAACAACATTGGCAAGCTCTGGGTATGCGAGCCTATCATCCCCTTTTTTGATATTGCTTATGTTTTTCCAGAATTGAATTTAACCAAGCGAAAAATCACAGAAAACTTCAACTGCCTAAATTCTTTATCTAAATTATTTATGTCTTTAACTATATTTGGAAACCTACTAGCCAGAGCTATGCTTTCAGTTAATGATATAATGGATGGATTCAGAAATGTTATTAGTTTGAGAATCTGTACTTCTCGGGAATTAAAGGGAAATCGCTTCCATATTTTTCTTACCGCTTCAATATAAAAATACAGACATTTCAATCTGAACTTATGTTTGATATTTTCGGTAAAAAAGGTTATGTACCTTGGGGGTTTCAGACTGGAATTCCAAATTCATATTTGTAAAAGTCGGTAATATGAATTGCAAAAAAGAAGATATAGTTTATTTAGGGCCAATTTCACCAACAACAGTCCGTTATTCTCCACCTATAGGGTAACAGACCGTCAAATACAACGAATGAGCTCCAAGTTCCAATCAACAAATTTTAGCAACCAATAGCTATGAAATGTTGAAAACAAAATACTGTCAAAGTATGAGATGACAGCTTGTCATTGAAGCATCACCAGCTTATTGAATATTAAGAAATTACATATCATTCGGCCAAAATTTAAAGAAATGTTGGATTTTTTAATAAAATTCATGTTTTAATTACCATTGTTGATTTTTTATTCATGTTTATGTTATTTTCTTCAATTGATATGCGATACTGGGTGTTTTTTCCTATAAACCTCTTGCAGATAGCCATTAAGCACCTACTTGATGACAGGCTCTACCAAAAGATATTGCTCGTTTCCAAACATTCATTCATTTACTTGCCGTTCATCAGAACCATTATGGCACCTTAGATTGATATTCCCACAAAACCAATCAGGTTTTGTGATATCCATACATCCATAAAGTTGAATATTTTTCGTTGTTCAGGAACTGAACAAACATCCACACTATATTCACAGCGATTAAGAAATTCCCAACTATATGCCTTAAAGCTACCAGCAAACCTAAAACCTGCAAAAAACTACAAATTTGCCATATTTTTCTTTTTTCACGAGTACAGATTCTAGGTTATATTTATATTAGACATTATGTGAATACAGCTGATTATTGCATTTCAAGGAGTGACACATGTGTGGGATCTGTCACCTCTTGGTACTAGTTACAAAACATATACTCTGAAGGTTTAATTCCATGCTATTCAATGACAACATGGTGACTTGTGTGGTTGTCAGCTGCCATTTTGTTAAGGTGCGACAGGGTTTCCAGATTGTGCATTAATATCCCGTTTCATCCTTTTGGTCCCAGTGGAGTAAGTTCCGCCAACTGTTGAAATATACTCTACTATGCTTTATAAGACTATTCGTGACATTTTTCCCAAAATCATTGCACAACACTTGAAAAAATGCAAATGAAAATTTAAAATTATTTCCATAATGCCGCAAAATAGCTCCGTCGGTACCTTGGGTTATACATCTTGACAGTAGGTATGTTCGATACGATCCTGTATTTAGAAGTATCAATACATTTCACGAGTATCGTCATCTTTCGATCCGGACTGTGTCAGAAAGAGTGACTGCTATTTGGCTGCGACATTACCCTGCCAAATCAGACATATCTTTCATCATTTTCAAAGAAATTGTACAAAATCTTCAAATTTGTGAAGTTAGCGAGTTTCACTTCATACGCTGTTACCAGACATGCCCAAATCATCAGTTGCTGTCGTGATATTCATCCCGACCACTGCATCCCCACGGCTAGGCGACCTGTATGTTAAGTTTGTATTGATAGGGCAGCGGGTTATGCTATAAATCATATGTCACAGTGTTTGTGCACTGATTGCAACGGTTAGATGATACCAAAAATATTTTCATAAATAGGAGATCTTTCCCATTCCGGATCGAATAATCTACCAAAGATGCTTACAATCGTGATACCTAGTATATTTTCACAAAAAAAATTCAAAACCAGCAAATGTAAAAGATTCATTTCGCACCCTCCACCACGGGACGTGATCGTCGTTAGACTTGGCGACTCTGCGAGTGACAGATAGATATCCCCGCCAGTCAAAAAGACAAACAATAAACATTACTAGTTTTTATGATTTTTGGACTTAAAAGACATTATTTGTGAAACATTTTCCATAATTTTTTGTCTATGTTTCATTATGCATCAGGCAGATGTAGGGATTGACACGTCTTACACATATTATCTGTGTTTTAGGATGGAGAGGACATAATGTTTTTATTACTTTGAAGAAATTCATTAACCCATAAATTAATAAATGATTACTATTATGACGTAAAGGAAGATGAGGAATTGGATGGAATGTATTTTATATTCTATTTTCTTGCAAAATACAGACAAATCCACACTACTCAACACGTATGTAATGATAACTTTCAGTATATTGAGGTTGGTAAATTCGAGAGTGCCATGCATTAACAAACATCCAAATCTGCTGCCAAATTTAACAGCTAGAAAATCAACCTATTATTTGCCGCATTCCAATTCGCTGAGGGGGATAACGGATTGTTAAATGTAAACATATAACATATATCAAAATACATGAAGGCTGTCCTGTTTTTTCTGTACAAAAGCATCATGTTGTAATCAAAAAGGGGTCTTGTTTATAATACAGTCGAATTTTCACGATTTTATTCAATATTTCAATAGAAATCACTAATACTCAGAGACAGCTTCTGTCAAATTGCATTCCGATAAGGTATTTTCCCATTGGTCCATAATATTAATGTTGGTGAAATTGGGCCTTAATTTATTATTAAGCAGGTCATGGATTTTCGCTGCTCCTGAAGCTTCATCGAATGCTTCAATTCATAAATAATTCTCTAGAGCATCATATTGCTTAATAATTCTACTTACAGTGGAAATCAGTGACCGCCACCTGGTCTGTGATGAATGAAATCATTTGTGGGGTTTGATGTCAAAAAAATATTCCAAATTCTTGAAATTCCGAAAATCTTTCAAAACGGCGATGCATATAGTTGTATACGTTTCTTACGAACTTTTCTGCATCGACCGGTAATTTTTCGCAAGCAGAAGAGACACAAAGAGCTAATGAGTGGCATATACACTTCATGGCATATGAATCCAGTATATCGTTATATAAAACAGCTTTAAGCGAATGATGTGCTCCCATCATAGCATTTGCCCCATCTGCCTTTATATTCAAATTTTTATTGTACCGGACAACAATTGCTAAATGTTTTTCTGATGACAAATCTGTGCATTCGTCAACTAATAATGCAAATTTATGGCAATTTAAGTCTCTAATAAGATTTTCAAAACTTATTTTCCCTAATACATATACATTGTTTATGATTGCCGTACATTCGGCCTACAGACATTTTTTTCGCTTGGCTACTCTCCATTCCAGACAAACAAATAGATTTTATAAGTTCGCTAAGATGATCTGACACATTTTTTGCGATATTATGCTCTGCAATAAAAGCTGCAATTTTAATTTCATTTTTTTTTACTATATTATCAGAAGAAATTTGAAATACTTTTTTGACCAAGTTGGCTGCTTGACCATAATATTTATGGATTAAACGACTTACCTTATGGAAGTTCAATCCAGATTATACGAGATTGATCATATCCAAATAGAACCACCATGTAGTATACCCCTTAACGCTGTGAGTGCGCCAGTGTTTAGAAAAACGTAACTGCTGCCACCTAGCCTGTCCCGTCCCGTAGCACTGGTCATTATACTTCGGAGCTGGATATGATCGCTAATGGGAGAGACGTCTTGTAAATGTTTTTTTTTAAGAAAACTGTTTAATAAAGGGTGGGAATTTGGTTCTATTTGGATGTGACCAATCTCGTATAATCTGGATTGAACTTCCTTAAGGTAAGTCGTTTAATCCATAATTATACTGCGATTGGTCACACCCAACTAGAACCACCATGTAGATGTTTAGAGAATTTAGCGAACCAATCAAATCCCACGAAAACATATGCTTATTTTCCAATATAAATCCAGCAATCCATTTATCATAAATCTATTTCCCAAAATATATTGGGTATATAATTATGTAATACGTAGTCACTAGTACTTTTCAAGTAGTGCACTATCATCGTAACTGTTACATTTATATGTATGTTAATAATCCTAAGACTATTTGGCTAAGCTTGACGATATCATTATTGTAAAATTTCTTTTATATAATCAGCTAAATATCCTCCTTTGGGCCTATTATAAAATTTTGAAAATGCTTCTGACTTCTCTGACCACCCCGCTGCACTTTTGATGTTTCAACATGTATCCCAGTTTGCAATGCTGCTGTAGATGCTGCGTGTCGAGTGCTGTGGCCCTTAAATTTATTTGTGTCGATTCCACTCAGCTTTAGTACATTTTTGATTCAACGACTGTGTGTAGCGGGTGATGAGGTTTTTTATGTGATAATATGAGCTGATCGTGATTGCCTCTCAGCTCACATGTGGCATTTATATGGTGTTTTATTGTTTTTGCAGTACAAAGATTTGGTCTTTCCATAAAAAATGGAAACAGTAATTTCGGTTGAGCTTTTTTAGGGGTAGAAGTTTTGATAACATTCGGTATGTGTATCACTAGCCCATGTTCCTGGATGGTAATATTACTTATTCTAATTTTGGATAAAGTCTGGGCTCTTTGTGCCGAACTCATTGCCAACAATATAACTTAACTTTAGGGTAAGATCTTTCAGAGTGAGATTTTGTAGTGGGGATAGATTTTCTGCAAATGATAACACCGGAAACGTTGGCTTCATTTTGAACACTTCTTTCATAAACCTTTCTACCAATTCGCATATCCCTACATCCGATATAAGATTCAATGCTGATCGGTGAGTGTTTAGCGTATTGTAGTTAGCTCCTTTTTTGAATTGTTCATCTAAAAAATTGAGAACATTTGCTGTAGCTGGTTAATATATATTTTTAATGTTTCCACTACAAAGGCTCCACCATTTACCAAATGTACAGTTATATTCTTTCAGTGTATTGGTGCTCGGAGAGGCCAGTAGAACCTCTAGGGCATCTCCTGTTATGCCCTTTTTGGTGTATATCTGTCTGACAAAACTGCTGCTCCCAGGGTAATCTGTTGTCATAGCGGATGCGGTTCCCTAGATGGGGATGACAATAAATTAGGGCGAGGTTCAAGAATTAATATTCAGTAAATTAGCATAGATTCTAATTTTGGAAACCATCATCCTCCAATTTCTTTAAAACTTTTTACATTAGCGAGAATGGAGGAAATATATATGATTTGAATCCTGTCCAGCAGAGAGAAAATGAATCCACTGCTAAGCTTTGTGGGTCGGGATGCCATGACACAAATTTTTTACTCTTGTTGTTAATGTGTGAAGCAAATAAGTCTATTTCTGGCATTCCCAACCTGCTTGTAATTATTTTGTACGCTGTTTTATCTAGGCTATACTCAGTGTCGATATTTTTTATTCTCGACCAACTGTCTGCCATGTGATTGTCTTTGGAGTTGATATACGAGTAGCTAGCAAATATGAATATAGCTCTCTCCTCACACCACTTCCATATATTAGTAGACAAGTCACTTAGATTTTTATATTTTGCAGCCCCCATCCGATTTATATATGATACTGCCGCTTTGTTATCGACCCTGAGCAAAATATAACAGTTGCGGTGCTCCTTCGCAAAGGACTGTAAGTCAAAAAGGCCGTCTTAAGCTCCAGGATGTTTATAATAATAATAATAATAATAGCTTTATTGTCCAACAGTTTTCCATTTATACGACAATTTATAAACATAATACAAAAACAAAAAAAAGCGAAAAAAAAAGCGAAAAAAAGCGAAAAGAAAACAACAAATGCAACACAGGTATAAATTTGTAACATGAGCTATTGGTCCGAATAAGTCTTAGCTGCCTTTAGCAGGTGATTAACATTTGTCGTAAATATATCACAGTAACGTTATTTCAAAGTCCACATGTCTAAGCGACTACATAGTTCCTCATTACGTGTACCTCTCTCTGGATATGTCCCATCAATCCTAAACAGAACAAACTTCATAAACTTCCGTTGTAGTCTTTCAATAGCTGTGCTATAGCATTCATAGTAAGGGCTCCAAATAATACTACAATATTCGACTTTGTATCTGGCATAATATAATAGCTTAATAGACTTTATGTTATGAAAATTCCTGCAATTCCTTACTACGAAACCATAAGCCGCCAATGCTTATGATGCTTTTTTATTTATACGCTGACTAAAAGTTGACTTTTGATCATAGATTATACCTAAATCACGTACATCAGAGCATCTTTCTAGCACAGACCCATCAATAGAGTACGGATATTCGCAAACATTAATTTTCCTGGTATAGCTAACTATTTTACACTTCATCACATTAAGCTCCAACTTGTTTTCTACACACCAAGACAGCACAAAATTTAATTGGTCTCGTAGCTTGATACAATCATCCGGAGTATTTATCTGCGAATAAATGTTTAGGTCGTCAGCAAAGCATAGGCGTTCACATTCAACTGAGTCACAGAGGTCATTAATAAATATCAAAAACAGTAATGGTCCCAGGTTGGACCCCTGAGGAACTCCAGAAAATGCCAAGTAGGTCTCAGATTGGAAGCCATTATAGCTAACAAATTGTCTACGATCGGATAAGTAAGAATTTTATCGAAAGCCTTCGAAAAGTCGGTATAACTAACGTCAACCTGCTCATTACTATCAATGGCTTCCGAGAGGTACTGCGTTATTATAAATAGATTTGTGGTTGTTGAGCGATTAGCGACAAATCCGTGTTGATGCAGTGACAGCTGATGCTGGACGGCAGTGTAAATGCGACTGTACAAGACTATTCCAAAGACATTCGAGAACATGCATAATATAGAGATTGCCCTGTAATTCTCAATATTTGACTTATCCCCACACTAAAACACTGGACAGACCTTAGCGATCTTACAAATATCTGGAAATCTTTCTGTTATAAGACAAATATTAAAAATCCTAGTTAGAACACCAACAAACACTTCCACACAATCGTTGACTATAAAGGACAGGATGACATCTAGACCAGATGTCATCTTATCCTTTAGTGATTTAATGGCCTTCCTGACTTCATTTTCCTCAATTGGATGAAAATGGACAAATAAATTACTATGATTTAGTAGACGCTGCTGAAAAACTCACTGAATGCGTTTACTATATCCTGAGGCTGATCTATAGAATTAGTTTGAAATTTCATTATCCCTGGATTCGTGATGTGTTGTTTTTGGAGTGAACGTATGACCAAAAAGCATTGGGGTTAATTGTTAATGAATTCTGGATATTTTCAATATATTGACCATACGCCGATTTAATCTGTTTTTTTATCAAGCGGCGCAAACGTTTGAATTCTTGTAGATCATCAACAAAAGCAGACCTGTTGATTTTTTTCCTAAATTTAGCTTTAAGTTTAATGTTCTTAATAATGGCTGAGTGAAACCAAGGCGGGTATCGGTGACTGTAATTCCTATACAGAGGTATGTGTCTGTCAAAAATTTGGAAAATGTTGCCATAAAATACATCAACAATATAATTAACATCAGAAGAGTAGAATAAAACATCCCAGTCAAATTGAATTAGCTCTTGATACAGGTTGACAAAGTCAGCCTTTCTGTAGTCATAAGTTATTTTAGTATGATTGAATGTAAACTTAGGCTCTTTAATGAATATGGCAGTCAAATCAACAGCTAGTGCCGGGTGGTGACTATCTTCTGGTACTAGAGGTAGTTCATCACGCTTAACAGTACAGGGTAATTTAGAAATTACCAGGTCTAGCGACCGATCAAGTTGATTTAAGACATTATTTGACTGCTTGTAATTAAAAATGTCCAAAAAATTATGGATAATGCGTGTCTTAGGGTCTAGAAGATTGCCATTTACAAGTTGAGGCACATTAAAATCTCCTAGAAACAGGGAATTACAGTCATGCAAATAATGCAGTTGCTCAACAGCATCAAAGAACGATTCAAATTCATCAACAGCAATTTTGTCAGGAATGTAAACAACAGCCACAAAAAATGTCTTATTTATGCGACATGGCATCTCACTATTAAAAGATCAATTATTGATGGAAATTGTCCATCAAATACAGCAACATCTATAACCTCAGGTTTAATGCATTCCTTAGCAGCTAGAAGCACTCCACCGCCACATTCCTTATCAACTAATGTAAACTTACGGTCCTTCCTATGAACAATATAAGAGTCAGGAATTAGTTCAGCACTCAAAACATTCTCATTCAACCACGTTTCACTTAATGAAACTAAGTCATATTCACTATCACTAATAGCCGGACTGATTATATGTAACTTACTATTCAACCCACGAACATTTTGATAGTAACACAACAAACATGTATTCTTTACATTCCGTAGCTTGCCAGAAACCATAAGTTGCTCGGTTATCATAGACCCACCCTAGCTTTGAGGCATCCGTAAAAATATGCATATCAAATTCTAGTGACCTATCCATGTTATTTAGCCACCATAAAAAATCTTTCTTTAAATGGTGTGGTATTTTCATGGCCATGTTATAATTTTAATTGTTATGGCTTAAAGCTAGGTATTTGGCTCTTTCCATGTTTTTTTTGTGTATAGCCAACCGTATGTCATTGCTGGGCAAACCGATACCAGATAACCTATAATTCTTGAAAACCCCTAACTCCAATCTTGTGTTTTGAATTAATGTATGTAATAAGTTGCTTTACTTTAATTTTCTTCCTTTCTGGAATACCCATTACCATTGTGTTTGTATCGAAGGCGAACCCAAGGAAGTCTACTTTTTGAGATGGCCGGAGGCAACCTTTTTGATAATTTATGATAACACACAGACTTGTCAATAATTCGCAGGTGTTTTCGATATTAGTGCGACACTGCTGTTCAGTCTTACTTATTAATAGGATATCATCTAGGTATGCAACTGACATTGGTCCATTACTACGTAATTTCGTGAGTACTGGCTTAAAAATTTTTGTGAAAACAGAAGGGGCCACTGGAAGTCCAAACGGTAAGCATTGAAACTCAAAAGTATGTCCTTGATATTCAAATCTCAAGTACCGTTTATGACTTTTATGAATTAGTATTCAATAATAAGCATCTTTAAGGTCGACGGAGGCTAAATAATTATTTTTAGAAACTAAAATCCTCACACTTCTGGAATCTTCAAGTTTAAAGTGTGGGGCACTAACGAATTTGTGTAACTGTTTTAAATTAAGAATAAATCTATATCCCTCACTGGACCTTTTCTTAAAAAAATAGGATGATAGAAATTGATTTTTTGAAGGCTTGACCTGATTTATAGCACCAATTTTTTTGCAATCAAAATATGCACTTAGTGTATTGGTCTTGTTTCTCCAAATATTTGATTTTAACGTTCGGCTTGCAATACTGGTGAGGAGGTTTGCAGAAAGGTATTTTGACTCCGCAAACCCACTGTAAAACTGTTTCGTTTTTTGTGAGTCTTCGCCATATTGGTATGAAGTCACCTATACGACCAGCATATTTTACCTGTAGCGGAGTTTGTTTGTTCTGTCCTCTCTTCTGTAATCCCTGGTGCCTTTCTTTGAGTAATCGTCGGTCCTGGGTTGTCTGCTCTTCGCCTGTTTGTTCGACCAGGTTGTCTTCCACCGTTTCTTGGTTGTGGCGTCCCTCCAGTTTTTTGACGTAGTAGATTGAGTAGCACGCATATCCTTGACAGTGTTTTCTAGCGTCTTCGCCATCTTGCTGTTTTCGCCAAAATCTTCTCCAAACAGAAGGTTGTCAATTCTTTCATTTGATGGAATCTTTTGGATCTTGCTGTTAAAATGGCGACTGCAATTCAATTTTCGATGTTTCGATAGTTGAATTGAACACAGCAACTGGTCTGCCTCTACCAGTTTTGTGAGATGAGAGGGGGTTTCATCTTGCGTTTCTGTGCCCATTGTGTCTGTTATTATAGCACCGAGGATTCCAATGCTTTTCCCCAAATTGCCTTGAAGATCATTTAGAAAAGAATCCCTCTTTAATTCAATAGGCGAGGGCATTGCCTGGACCTCAAGATTGAGCTTAGGGCGCTGTAGCATCAAGCAGTTCCCAGGAATAGGAGATGATTCTAGGAGCTTCTTCCAAGCTTCTTCTCTAGCAATCGGCATAAATATACTAAGTGACATATAAATCCGAACACCCAGTTTAAATGGTTTTATTTTAATAAAATTTTGTATAAGTACTTAATGAAGCATAATAAGTAAATGATAAAAAATTCAAAATGATTGCACTGCTTTAAAGCCCTTTGACCTTTAATAATGTGTGGATGCACCCTGATGTGCTACGCATTCTCCAACGCGCCTAGGCATGCTTCTGATCAGGTGGTCAATGTCCTCCTGTGGTATCTTATTCCAGGCAACCACCAACTCCTCTCGAAGTGCCTCTAGAGTCTGAGGAGGACGTTGCAAATTGAGCAATCTCCTACCCATCATATCCCACACGTGCTCAATTGGGAATAAGTCGGGAGATCTTGGTGGCCATGGTAACAATGTGACATCATTATGTTGAAAGAAGTATATTGTGACTCTTGCAACATGTGGTCGGGCATTATCTTGTTGGAAAGTTGGATCTGCCAGGGTGTCAAGATAGGGTAAAAGATGGGGTTCTAGAACTTCGTGGATATAACACTGCGCGTTCATGTTACCTCTGATGAAGATTAAAGGTGACCTGGAACCATAAGCTATAGCACCCCAAACCATAACTCCAACAGTGTGATGAACATGTCTTTCAACAAAAAACTGTGGATTCCTCCTTTCACCACGTCGCCTTCTAACCCTGGCACGACCATCGTGCATGCCTAAACAAAATCGAGACTCGTCACTAAAGACAATACTGTTCCATTCCTGATCCCAGAGTGACCGTTGTCTGCACCACTCAAGGCGATTACGTCGGTGTTCTCGAGTTAAAGGGAGGGCCCAGTGTGGCCGGTATGAAAACAAGCCAAAACTTCTCATTCGTCGGTAAACACTTCGCATGCCAATAGGTCTTCCGTGTTTTGCAAACCATTCATTTGCAATGGACCTGGTAGTGGAGAAACGGTCCCTTAAGGCCAATAATCTTAGGCGGCGATCTTCACGGTCTGTTGTTCTACGGCGGCGTCCAGTGCCCCTTGCTCTTTGCGTACGGCCTTCTCGAAGCCATACCTGACAACACATAACCACAGTGTCTACACTTCTTTGCACTCTAACTGCAATTGCCCGAAAAGAAAGTCCAGCTTCCTGAAGTTCCACTATACGGCCCCTATCAAACTCACTAAGTTGACGAAATCGTACAGGTTTCCGTACTTTAGGCATCGTAACCGATCGTAAAGGATGTCAAGAACCAAAATCCGCCAACGTTGATTCTTTACTGCGGCTGAAATATTCATTTTTAGAGCGTTAGTGAATTAAAAAAAAGCAGTATAAAAACCGGAATGTCCAACTGATAAGGCTGAAAATTTTTTCACTTGTTATTTACAGTAAGATAAATACATTCACCAACTTTTATTAAAATAAAACCATTTAAACTGGGTGTTCGGATTTATATGTCACTTAGTATAGTTGTTCCAACGAATAGCAAGTTCATTGGAAATGTCTGGTCCCACATCTTTCGATATGGTGGGGTCATCTCCCAGTATGCCAGTAACATTCACCTCTTTCTTGGCTTCATCGATGCCGGACGAGGATGTTGAAGAGCAAGACCTATGGCAGAAAGACATTCATGTAGGCCTAACTGCGCAGTCATTCACGAAGTGAACGTATATATTATAGGGATACTTGACCCTATCATAGTGGAATGTACTTACTAGAAGAGTCCAACTTCATTGAACGTTCCAGCTTCCTCATCTTTTTCTTCAACTTCTCAAACTCTTTCTTCTGCAATTTACGTTTACCGCTCATTGTTGCAAGATATTACGCCCGACGAAAAAACCGCACAAAAACAATAAACACTTGACTCACTTCACTCAGAGCCAGAAGTATAATGACCAGTGCTTCGGGACGGGACAGGCTAGGTGGTAGCGATTACGTTTATCTAAACACTGGCGCACTCACAGCGTTAAGGGGTATACTACATGGTGGTTCTATTTAGATGTGACCAATCGAAGTATAATTAAATTTTTTATATGCTTTTTTAAATAACTATGTTTTTTAGAAGCTCCTATGCCGCCTAAATAATCATAATTGCAAACCTTACAGTGGAAAAAATAGCTTCCACGGGAGCTTGGCTGCACCCAGTTCTTAAAATTTTCCCACTCTGCCTTGTATTTTTTGGAATATGTTTTTTTCTTTTGAGGCTAGTTGGTGGATCTTACTCGATACTGAATTATCAGAATCAAAAGTTGAGTCTAATTCATTTGTTGTACTCGATCTCGTTTCCTCGGATTCTTCTTGAACTGAAGTAGACGCTTTGATTGGACCTGGTTGTGGAGATAATGGCCTGCGTCACCTTTTTTCTTAATTACCAAAAATTTTTTCATTATTTTGGTATCTGATGGCCTGAAAAACAAAGAAAGATTTTAGCCTTTATTACAAACTAATTTTTACCTCAATTAGGTATAGATTAGTATTTTTTATTGTTAACGTTATCTCATAAAATATTTTGTAAAATAAATTGTTTTGAAGAAAAAAATTCAAATATGTACACGGTGTCTCAGTTTGCCTGTTTGCAGGGCATCTTTTTAAAGATAGAACTTTCGAGTTTTTGGGAACCTGTGCCACTTTTTTGTGCAATATAATAATTAATGGGGGGCATAAATATAAGGTGCTCACATTTTATTTCATACTCATATTAATGTTCATATTCAAAGTGTAAATCATTAAAAGAAAACTAAGTTAGTCATAAATCTTGAACGATGGCTCTGATTTTTTTTCGAGGTCACTGAATACGCAGAAGTATGTATCTATCTAAAGCACTTTTCACCTTTTTTCTATCTTATACAGGGTGCGAGCTAGGACAGTTCCCTAAAAAGTGAAATTTGTCGTTTTCACCATTTCAGTGGCAAAACGAGTCAGCTTAATTCTGTTTGTAGAATTATTAGTTTAAAAAAAAAGTGTCATAGGGTCGCGAAAACCACAAAGTTCTGTATTTAAAAATAATCGAGATACCCTGCAATTACAAGCAAAATGGGACACCCTGTACGCACTAACTACAAAATATTTAAGCTAATAATACAGCGAATAATAATATGTATATAATAACTAATGTTTCTATAAAAACTAAATTTATTAGATTAATAATTTCACCTACCTTCTTTTTATTTTTCACTCACTTAAATTCAGTGGTTTGTGAAACGTACACGTAAAACGTATCACTAATGTAGACGTAAATCAATAAGCAAAGTTACAAAACAATGAGTAATCTTCACCAAAGAATGAATACTAAGAATGAAACAAACACCCGTTGCGAAGCCTATACAGGGTGACTTCGAAGTTGAGTCATTTATTTTAACAGTGAGTAGATCTGATCAAAAGAAATGTTTTTTTTCTTTACCATTTTTCTGGTAAAACTAAAGTAACAAAGTTATAGCCCTTTGGAAGTTTGAGTACCGCCCTGTCTCAATAATAATATTATCTGCTCGTGTTTGGCAACAACGGATATAATCCGCCTTATCGGTTCATCGCATCGGAAACAAAAAAGCGAAAGAATTTGGAACGATGTTTTACAATTATTTTATTCAGTTGTATACAGTCAGTGTCAGTCGGTAACGCGTGAGTGAATAGTGGTGTCTGTTGCGTGGCTCAAACGAAATAAAAAATGGCACATGTTTATGCGGATCGGTTTCCCAATAGAGTGCAACCAACCCCTCGTGCCTTTGTTAATGTAGTACAATGGGCTCGTGAATCAGGTGACTTAAGACCTCACAGGGGACGGCATGCCGGTGCTCCAAGACCTCACGATCAAATACAGGTCCGCACTGAAATACTTGTCGGGAGGATACTTTATAAAACAAGGTAAACTTTTTTTTTTAATTTTTTTTTTATTTTTACACACATATTTTGGTTTATCTTCCTTCTACAATCATTATCTGAAAATTAATGACTCAACTTCAAAGTCACCCCAAAGTATATAAAAATAGACTATGTAATATATTAATTTCTTTGCATTCTGCACAACACGCAATGTATAATGCGTTGCCTAACTTCTCACTGGAAATTTGCAACAGGTCAATATAAAATCAAGTCAACCCCCAATACTTTGTGCTGTTATGCAAAATCAAAGAAATGAATGTAGACTCTAGTGATCTGAGGGTTATAGACTATTTGAACTTATCGTCATTCAACCTAACCAGAAAAGCCAGAGATACTTAATATAAAATAATCTTTTCTAATATTTGAATTTTTTTGGTATACTTTTTTGCTTAAAAGGATGAATTTCTATATTTTTTCATTGTATTTTTCATTTTTTTTTGTTTGCTACAAACCTTTCAAAAGATCACTAGAAATATTACATTTAACAAAAGTTTTCACTAAATCGCTAAACTCGTTAAAAAATCACTAGATCTAGTGAAATTTTACTAGACCTAGCAACATTGCAAGTGAAAAATGTCGAACTTGCAATAACTAATAGGAGGGTATTCGAATAGGTTCAAAGTGACACTAACGCCCTCTAGCGAGAATGAGTTGAGTATTGTAGTAAAGTACAGATATGGCAAACACTCAAAAGTAACAAATTTTGTTTAGTGTCACTATTGTATTAAAGGTGCGATTTGTCAAGAAAACGTCCCAATCTTTGAGTTAATTGTCTCAGATTTGGACATAACGTGAGCAACTGCAAATCCATGTTTTGTAAATGTCGTAATAAGCCTCATCACACTTTATTGCACTTTTCCAGCAAACACGAAGCTCGACGACACGACGCGCGGCCGCGTTGCGTCCAGCGTCATAATGAGCGTCACAGCGCAGGCGCTGCCGCCGCCAGATGAATTTTCCATAAAGCGGTAAAACATGGTCCAAAAAAGCGGTAGAAAGCGGTATATGAAGGAAATTTCTTGTCGCACAATAAATTAATGCATTTTTTTGGTAAGCTGTAATAATTATACCAGAACTCTACCTAAAACTTGATTTATTATATGTTCTAAACAAGAACTAACAAGTAGATCTCAAAAATAGGCATTCTTGGCATCCACAACTAAACTAAGTAAAGAAAAATAAGCATTACCTACAAACATTGATTAGCTAATATTAATAAATATCTTTGGTCACTATCCTCTTCAATTCATTGTTTCCCTTAAATTCGAAACAACTACTTGTAATAATTAGTCTCTGACTGTGTAATATTCCTATAATTGTTTCTGTACTTAAGCGATTCCTTTGGGTAGTTTTCAGCATATTTACTGCTGAAAAAACCCTTTCAACATTTGCACTTGAATGAGGGATAATCAATATGTTAAAAATAAATTCAGTTAAATTAGCTAACATACGCCAATTATCTGCCTGTCAAGAAGCCCGACGATGACCAAGCAACCGTTCTGCAAAACTGTATTTTTCCAGAGGATGATGACGACTTCACACAATGCATGTATTGTGGCTATGGCACTACCGAAGCAATCACTACCTGGATTCAGTCTGATATGTGCAGGAAGTGGATGCATGAATACTGCTTACAACTAAGTAACAATATTGAAATAGAAACATTTCATTCTAAGTGTTAGATTTGCACCGCAAAGGTTTCTCTGTTGTCAAATTCCATGAATTTATATCAACGCTGTGAACAGTATCTAGTATCCAACGCACTGTCATCACAAGAAATGTCTGCCATTGAAAATGATACCAGACCTCAGGGCGGCTGTCTGAAGTTTAAAGAGGAGAGAAAAAAACGTCAAGTCGTCTTATTTTGGACGGATTTGCAAGGTAAAGGATGAAAGCTCATTCAGCAATATTATAGCCACTATTATTAATGGCAATGACATCAAAACGCCAGCTGCCCTTCATGGCCGAGAACATAAAAAAGTGCTCGTTGGACTGATGATACACTCCGAATACCCATACATGGCAGCTTCACCCGATGCACTTGTCGGAGATGATAGTATTGTGGAGGTGAACTGCCCCTACAATGCGCGAAATTCAGCTACCCATGAGTACGAGTTCGATTTTTTCCATAAGAATGGCGAATCAGTGAGGATAAGTCACAGTTACCACTACCAGATACAAGGATTACTGGAAATAACGGGCAGGTCTTGGTGTGAGCTAGTTATATATACCTTCAAAGGTATCAAAATTATCACAGTATATCGAAGTCAAGCATTCTGAAATGTTATGATAAAGAAACTGAATGTGTTTTACATGTTTTACTTTCTTCCGCGACCTTTAGGTTTTGTTAAACTTTCCACCTCAGAAAGAAAATGGATGACCACTTAACTCCTCAAACTTATGGATAACGGTTTAGTGGAGAATATATATTACCGGCAGTTGCCAATTAAAAAGGTTTTGATAAATCAAGATTTGCACTTTTCCATCAAGGAACTTTTACAAGATGATTTTTCTACTTTAGACAACAAGCAACATCTGAGTAATTTTGTTGTGGATCAATGCCTACATTTGATCAATAAGTTTAGTGGTAGCCGTTTTCAAATAATATCTGTGGCAAAGTCCTCGGTCATATTTTCAGATAATAATTTTCCTCCTTCGTTTGCAGCGGGCATCACATTCCGCAAAGACGCGATAGTTATGCCTATTCTAAGGAATAACCATTATGTCTTGTTGATGTTGTCTCTTACGAAAAAAATGTGACATTTATAGACCCCATGGGAAATGAAATTCTCTTTAGAAATTCGTACTGCGAAAAACTGACAAAATTTCTGAAATCAATATAACCGAATTCCTTTTTGATACACCACACCACATCCTACAAAGAGACGGGTATAACTGTGGAGTTTATATAATACATTTTTTCCAAAAAATCTGCAAAAATGGAAACCTCAACGATTTAGTAGACATAGATGAACAACAGATAAATTATAAATGGATGCAAATCCGTAATAGTTCCAACATGACCCATATCTGCCTCTTCTGCGGCGGTTCCACAGCCAATGAGAAAAATGTTAT